TAAACATGTGCCGCTTAGTGTCAGCGTATGTTCTAATGTCCCTCAATATCAACAGCCTCAGTGTTTTATTACTAACGGTGATAGTAAAGAACTAGTGCAAGAAATGGTAGAGTACCTAGTAACGATAAGCAAGGAAAGTAACAGACTCATGAAAGAACAGTTTGCTGATGTATTGACGGCGATTGACCAAAAGATTAAAGATAGAGACGCAAATGAGAAAGAAACAACTGAGAATGAATACGACTTAGAAAGTGATGATGATGATGATGATGATGACAATGATTGTGGTATTGATGTACTGGATAGTGAGAATGATGATGAGGAAGAAGTGGAATCAGAGAATGAAGAGGACCGCAACTTCATTGATGATGCTTCGATGGATGATGATGATCACGACCCCGGCTTTTATAGAGCAATGGACCAGGAGCTTCGTGACAGGTTCCCAACCTTGCAACGCAGTGTTCATAACAAGAAAGAAAAGAAACGACAGCACCCTCTAGTGAAACTGAAGGTATGCAGTCATTAATATTTTATCATAAATGACTTAAATTTTGTAATGTAACACTATGTTGATAGATATGAAACTTTTATTACTTCTATTGTATATTATTTTCATAGCACATTATAATTTGTTAACGATTTTATAACACTTTTATTCAACGTTAACAGGTCAGACTTGAAGAATACTTGAAAGAGCTGCCTGTGGTTGGTTTCAACTCTGGAAAGTACGATTTGAATGCCACCAAGCAATTTCTTTTCCCTGTTTTAACCGAGATGGAACAAATCCAGTTTGCTATCAAACGGAACAACAACTGTATGTGCCTTAAAACAGAACATCTTCGATTTCTTGACATTGTCAACTTTATAGCACCAGGGTTTAGTTATGACAAATTCCTAAAAGCCTACGATTGCCCCCAAACCAAAGGTAATTGTATTTTCTGCCTTAATCATCATTCATGTTTTTACCTACATTTTTTATTTTTGAATGAGTTTTGAAATTTCACTTTTTATTTATTTTTGCTCATTTCATTCTATTTTCCCACTTTTTCATATTTCATTATTTATATTGTTTGTTTTCATCTGTCGTTGCATCTAAGTATTTTCGTATTTTTTTCGTTTACTTTTCGTTTTATTTTCTTCATGCTATATTTCTCACTTAATTTATTTAACTTATAAACTTATTTATTTCATTTGCTCTTTAGGTTTCTTTCCCTATGAGTGGATGGATTCCCTGGATAAGCTCGAGTATACAGCACTACCTCCTCACGAAGCCTTCTACTCATCACTAACCAACTCTAATATTAAAGCTCAAGAATATGCCTACTGTCAACAAGTTTGGGCTGAAAACAACATACAAACATTTCGTGAATTCTTGGTTTGGTATAACAACAGAGATGTGGTTCCTTTCTGCGACGCTTTGGAAAAAATGTCAACCTTTTGGAGAGAAAAGAGAATCGACATGCTACGACAGGGCATCTCCATTCCAGGAGTAACTCTAACCTACTTGTTTATGACACTAGAACCAGACATCTTCTTCTCACTATTTGATGAAAAGAACAAAGATCTTTACTATTCCTTCAAGAGTAACATGGTTGGTGGGCCAAGCATCATCTTCCATCGATACCACGAGGCTGGTCAAACCAAGATCCGTGAAAAAGAGATGATAGAACAAGGGAAACAACCAAAGGTTTGTGAAAATGTGGTCGGTTACGATGCCAATGCCCTCTACCTGTGGGCGATTATGCAAGAAATGCCTACTGGAGCTTATGTGAGAAGAAGAGAGGAAAATGGATTTAAAAGAGAAAGTTCCGTCAAGTTGGCGACTGAGTGGCTAGAATGGGAATCTGAGAGGCGTGGAATTCCAATCCGTCATCAAGTAAATGATACAGAGAAAAGAATCGGAAATCGAAGGCTGGCAGTAGATGGTTTCCATGGTCCAAGTCAAACAGTGTTTCAGTTTCACGGTAAGCGTACATTTCAATCATCCGTTCATTTGCTTCATTTATACTAATCACTATATAGATATCGTAGTTCTTTATTCATTTGTTACATGTAAATTTGTATTTAAAAAACCGTTATGGTTTCGTATCCATTTTTTTTAATCTTTTACATTCCTACTTTTATTATGCCATCGCATTATTTATTCATTTATATTTGTCAGATTACTAACATTTGTTTTCTTTCTTTAATCAAAGGCTGTTATTGGCATGGAGATAGATGCTATTTAAACCAGAAAGAGTTCAACGAAGTCAGAAAGAAACCAATGAGTGAACTGAGAGAGGAAACCGAGGCTAACAGCAAATACATCAGAAACGAAGGCTTCAATCTTGTCGAGATGAAAGAATGCGAGTGGCGCACGATGAAAAGAACAGACCCGGAGATTCAAAGATTCCTTGAAAACAAATTTAATAGACCTCTGGATCATAGGCGGACCCTAACCACAAACGAGATAGTTAACGCTGTGAAAGATGGCTCTCTCTTTGGTGTTGTAGAGGTGGACATTCAAGTTCCCGATGATCTCAAGCCCCACTTCAGCGAAATGTGCCCGATCTTTAAGAACACCGAGATAAGCCGTGACGATATTGGGGAGTTTATGAAAGAATTTGCAGAAGAAGAAGACATCATGCCACGCCCACGCCGAAGCTTGATTGGGAGTTACTTTGGAAAGAAAATCCTCCTTGCCACGCCTCTCCTTAAATGGTACTTGGAGCACGGTCTTGTGGTTACCCGTATCTATCAGGTGGTAGAGTATACGCCCAAGGCCTGCTTCAAACCATTTGGGGAGGCGGTATCAGATGCACGAAGAGCTGGGGATGCTGATCCAAACAAAGCCATTATCGCTGATACCATGAAATTGGTAAGTTATTCTCAAATCAACCAAGATTTACCTTTTTGCAGTTCCTTATTTTCAATCCATTCATTTTCTAGGTTGGAAACTCAAGCTATGGAAAAACCATCACGGACCAGGAACGTCACCGAGAAGTCAAGTTTTGCTCTGATGCCAAGGCTTCTAGATTAGTAAACGATCCGTTCTTCCGGCAGATTGACGAAATTGACGAGAACACTTACGAAGTCCAGTCCTCAAAGAAAAAGATTAACTTAAATTTACCAATACAAATAGGATTTTTTGTTTATCAATATGCTAAATTAAGAATGCTTCAATTTTATTATGATTTTATTGATAAATATGTAGATCGCTCTGATTTTCAATACTGTGAGATGGATACTGACAGTGCTTACATAGCTCTTTCTGGAAGAAGCATTGAGAGTTTAGTTAAAGAGGAAATGCGAGAAGAGTTTGAAGAAGATAAGTGTAACTGGTTTCCGAGAACGGATACGGCAGAACATCGCGCCTATGATAAGAGAACACCGGGCTTATTTAAAGTAGAATGGGAGGGACAAGGGATCATTGGCTTATGCAGTAAAACCTATTACTGTTTTGGGAGTAGTGATAAGTTTAGTTGTAAGGGGGTGAATAAAAAGTGCAATGAAATCACGAAAGATAAATACTTAAATGTTCTTCGCACGAAACAAAGTGCTTCAGGTATTAACAAGGGCTTTCGTTGTGTCAACCACCAAATGTTAACTTATAAGCAAGTTAGGAATGGATTTTCTTATTTTTATCCCAAAAGAAAGGTTTTAGGGGATGGCATTTCAACTGTTCCATTAGATATTTAATCTTGTATTTATAGTCAACATAATTGCACCCTTTGATTCGATAATT